TACATAACTATACTCTTACTAAGAGAACCTTAGTGTGTCAGATATAAGGGCGTGTTCTAAGTATCTCAGTGTTGTTATTAGATGGCTGGGGCGGAGGCCGGAGGCAGGATATCGAGACTTGGCCGAAATAGGGCTAGGATAGGTTATCTGCCAAGACCCACACAAAAGGGCACCCTAGATAGAACCTCGGCCAATATACCAAACAATTAATCCATCTCATCTCTAGATCACCGATATTCATTAAATCACTGTATGAATCTAACAATTAAGAGTCTCACTACCTCAACCAATATACTGATTAACCATGACAGCCCAACTAAACCCTTAGCGCGTAGAGATAACGCTCCGCGACTATAGTAACTTTATAAGCTAGTTTAAGCAACTATAGAACCGCTGCATCACTCATAATATATGGGATAAGGTCAACCCTAAGTTAATTACTCCGCTAACCGCAAAGCCGGTAGCAAATAGAATACCTATAATCGCTAACTACACGCCGGTAGCTAATATCCCAGTACTAATATGATAGTCTAAGCTATCTTTAGCCAGATAGAAGGCCTTTAAGGAGGACCTTAAGTACTATAAGCTGTTTCAAGAATAGTATAAGAACGATTAACATAAATATAAGAGAGAGCAAGCAAGCATCTAGTATATCGTTACGTTCATCTAATAAATAGTAGTAAGCCACCTACAGAACACCTACTACCTACTAAATTAGTCACCCCGCCAATGGATTATAAGCCTTAAGCTGGTAGTCGGCGTTAATAATTAATATAAGAAAGAGCGCGCAAGAGATTGATACCTTATAGCTCTTAAACCAATGAGAAGTATTACCTCATAGGAATCCTGGCTTGCTAAGTACGATTAGGCAGCTATAGAAGCGGAGACCTATCTAGTCACTAAAGTAACGCAATTAGATACAGTTACAAAGGATTTTCTGGTAGCCGTCAATAAAGTGGCACCTATATGGGCTACGGCCTTCTAAGACTATAGTAGATACGCCGCCGGCATAACTAGAAAGGAGATGATGAAACGGTTCTAAGAACACATGATGGCCAATCATCTAAGTATGAAAGGGAAGCATAGAGCAGCCTTTATAACTATAGATCAATCTAGTAGCGATCTATATGGAAGCTTTCTCGCTAATAGTGGTGAAACCACTTAGGGTAATAATAGGGACGCCTCTCATGCTAAACACGCGCCATCCAAGGGACGTCCCTTAAAACGAAAGAGAGCGTAACCATATAGGGCCTCTCAGCCATCTAACGATGAGCTAAATACCGTAGGCCCATGCCTAGCGTGTAAACAAAGCCATGCGGCTAAGGACTATTACTATCTTTATAAGGAAAAGGCACCTGTATGGTGGAAACCAAGACCAGCTATTAGCAAACTAATAGAGCTCAAACGTAAGCATGACAGCACGTTTTAAGGGCTAATTTAAGGTTAAAGTAGATCACGAATACAAACACCTCATATTAAATAGTCCTATACGCCAACGCCGACCCAATTAATGGAAGTAAGCGATAAGTGACTAGATGGTCGCAAAATCTATACTATAACCATAAGTATAAGTTTCAACACTACTATATAATCTAATCTAAACACGTACCCGCTCCGCAACTTAGCAATCCTCAACTTAGGCACAACTTGCCATATCTTCAACGACGTCGATCAATTTGTCGCACTAAGGCCACCGAGGCCAGGCGACTTTATATGGGCTGGGAATACGCAAGTTTAAATATAAGGATACGGCAGCGTCCATATACGTTTAAAGAGCACGCGCGGTAATAGCATAATTAGGCTAGATAATGTAGTATACTGCCCTAATCTACTCTATAACCTAGTGTCGTTTCGCCTACTTAGACATCAAGGACTATGGTGGGATACCAAGTCCGACCCCACGGCAATCAAACAAGTAGACAATACAGTAATTATAGAGCTTTAAGAATTATACGGCTAATGGATACTCAAATACCAACCTTTGGACCAATTATGTACTATAAGTAATAGTACAGCTTTTATTACGCATAAGATCAACTTACGCATAAAGTAGAGGGCAGCTATCACCAGCGTAGAGATATGGCACAAATAATTAGGCCATCCAGGACCCAGCGCGCTCAAGCACCTAGTGTAGCGAGCTGAGGGGGTGCACATTAAGGGCGTACCTATAGTTAAATGTGACGCCTGCGGCAGAGCAAAGTTAAAATAATAGATTAGGCAAGAAGCTAGGCTAAATAGTGAAGGACCCGGAGAGTGTATTGCGATCAACTTCCACGACTATAAGGCGTAGAGTTTTAATAAGGAGCGTAGCCAGATACTCACCACCAATCAATACTTAGGTCACATGTGGGACTTCTACTTCAAGGATAATCAGCCTGCTAGATTAATTATTAAAGTTCTAAACGACCTTGTGCTACTGCTAGTAGTATAGTTTGGCGTAACTATTAAAGTTATTAAGTTAGATAATGAGATCTTCACGGTTAAGGTAGACGTCAAACGCTAGTATATAAGTAAAGGCATTAAAATTAAGCCCTCAGCACCTAATACACAGGCCTAGAATGGAGAAGCCGAGCGCTTAGGAGGTATAATTAAGGAGAAAGCCCACGCAATGCGCCTTAACGCCAACCTACCATAGGACCTTTAGCCAGAAATCACACGAGCTGCGGTATATCTACATAATCACACTCTAAACTATAAGAACTAATAGCGTACACCATACAAAGTGTTCTTTACCATAGTCTCTCTTATTAATGGGATTATAACTCAACCAAAGAAACCGGCCCTAGGGCATCTCAAAGCATATAGAAGCAAAGCATTTGCTATAACTAATAATACTTAACGCGGCAAGAGCAAGCTCCAACGACTAGACCCAAAGGCATAGATTAGATACCTAGTTAGTTACCAATCTACAAATATTTAGCGCGTATGGATCCCATCACTATTAAAGGTGATTAGTATCCGCGACATTATATTCAATAAAGAAATAGTGTTTAATAGTACTTAAGAAGAGATTATAGATAACCTCATATATAGTACACTCAATGAGATAGCTATATAGATCTAAATAGTAGAGCTGCCGCCCACTCTAATAGATTATAGAGATATGACGCCCTTCTATAAAGATGAGATAATCGATAACTCCACATAAGATTAAGATAAAGATAAGACGCCAGGCTATTACTAAGGAAGGAAGATTAACTACACCTACCTATTACTACCATTAATACCACTACTAGTAACCCTACTAGCGCAACTCTTCTCTGATAAAAACACACCTTCCTAAGGCTCTAGGGGGTTCCCACGAAACTTTCCTAAGACCCCCCCTAGCCCATTACTAGAGCAATACACCGAGATACTGGTGTTCGACCAGCCAACATTGATGACAGTACCATGGGCAGCCGCCTTTATGGCAGGTACCCAGGTAGGTCACGTAGGCAAATATTAGGGCAAACACCTTAATAAGGCGCAGATTAGACGACTGTTAACTAAGGGCATTAAGCCTTATAGAAACGAGTTACCTTCACTTCCTATAGTGGGCACACGACTTAACGATTATCCCATATGTGATAAGTTTAAGGAGGCTGAGCGCGTGCATCTCACCAGCCATTATTAGATGAAATTATGGATCGAGATTCAATAGAGGCTAATTAAATAGGTAGGCTACCAAATCCTTAACTATATGTGGGTATACACCTATAAGCTAAATAAGTATAATTAATTTCTAAAGTGTAAGGCTCGACTTGTCGTCCGTAGTGATTAGCAGTAGAATATCACCATATAAGATACCTATACCATAACGCTGGCCAGCTACTTATTTCGTATACTTATAGTAATTGCAGCCAAGTACGATCTTAAGCTTAAGTAGTATAATATTACTAATGCCTTCGTACATGCTCCACTTGATCAAGAAGTCTATATAAAGATGCCAGTGGGATACCAACGTAAAGGTACCATCCTTAAGCTATAGAAGGCACTTTATAGACTCCATATCGCACCTAAGCTCTAGTAGAGAGAGTTCACTACAACGCTAGAAAGCCTTAGTTTTACTATAGTACCTCATGAGCCATGCTGCGTGATTAAGGACGGCATAATGATATTCTTCTACGTTAACGATATTATTATTGCTTACCACAAAGATAAGGAGGCAGTAGTAACTAAAGTAGTAACCCTACTATAAAATAAATACACTATAACTAGAGGAGATAACCTTTAGTAGTTTCTCGGCATGGAGGTTATCTAATAGAGAGACCAGCATTTTATATAGCTATTATAAGCTGTATACATTAAGAAAATCCAACAATTAATCAATAAATTAGATTACCGACATAAT